AAAACCATGTGCGGGGTTTAGAGTGAGGGGCAATAGATTATACATTTAGCCTGACGGTAGTGAAGTAAGAGGAAGAACTCAAGAGAAGATGAAAACGCAGGCACTGAAAATGTGTGAGATGTCATGGGACATCGTCTGCTTGTGCAAGTCATGTCCATACTGTGATCTCACACATCTCAGCAGCGTTCGGAGAGCTCTTCAGGTGCTATGCCGGGGTTGTATTAAGCGTTTTGTAATTTATAATAATCATTCCTTCGAATGTGTCCAAGCATTGAATTTTGATAACCTTGTCGAATCAAAGTTTCAACTTTGCAATAATGAAAATAAAGTTAATTTTTAAAATCAATGAATATCTACTTTAAGAATCCAATTTTATTATCATGATTATTATCACCACCCAGACTTGAATTCACGACGCTGATTTAAAAATAGATGTAAACCTAGAATGGGTACCAGCCCACTGCGGCCTAGCAGGAAACGAACGAGCTGATTTGCTGGCAAAACAAGCTTTAAAAAAAAACCCAGAATAATAGTAAACCAAAGCAAAAGTGAGTTCATAAGAGAATCAGATATTTATCATAAATCCATGTGGCAAAGCCTATGGGATAAAGCAGAGAAAGGAAGACACTTGTATAGCATCAATAAAAAATGTAAATAATGTTTTTAGAATCAAAGGTTTGAACCGAAAGGATGAAAGATTGATCTACCAATTCAGGCTTGGTAAATGTAACCTGAATTTTTTTTGTTTTACTATAAATATTTAATTAGAAAACACGACACTGGACTATGTGTAGAATGCCAAACGATAGAGACAATTGAGCACTTTTTATTATCTTGTCCAAAGTATGAAAGGCAAAGAAGGAGAATGTACAGAGCACTTAAGACCAAAAATCCAAATCTAGGTCACTTACTAGGAAACGAGGAATATTTAGGAAAGGTGGTAGCTTTTTTAAATGCAGTGGAAGGTACAGCGAACTGTGGTGCTCAGCTATACACATCATTACGTATTAATTACGTATTAATTGAGTATTAATTACTTTTCGCTATATCATCTATTAGTGACAGTGGTACTTTCCTCGGTATAAATTGCTTCATTATACGGAGAGAGGCTTTAAACTAACGTCCTAACGTAATGAACTGATCGCAACTAATATTCAACCACTTCATCCTTTAATAATAATATTAAGAAAAAAAACGTTCCTTATAAAGCGCTTACCACCGAAGTCTCTAAGCGCTTTCCATCCTAATGAATTCTTTAAAATAACAAGCTGCATAACAACACAGAAATAACTACTTACAATTTACTGACATTGTTAATTGCACAAACACAACGCCACTAGGCTATCGTCGATCCAATAGCAAAAGTACTAAGAGAGGACCAGTAACTACGCCCTCTGACATTGTCTGGCGGAAATCATCGAATGACGATGAAAACGCCATTAATCACAACAACAACAACAACAACAACAACTAAAGATATCATGAAAAGCACAGACTAAATTTACACTTATTTCTCTGGTCTCATAAAATAACTAATTTTACACACAAAAATGTGTGAATCGCATGGTAAAGGACCTGTGTCAAATATTTTTATCATCAGACAATCTAGCGTCGTTCGTACGTTGACTGTTGTGCGGTATAACACTACCACCGAACTGGATTTTGCTTAATCCCTAGGAGCTAGTCAGGGGCGGATCTATGGTAGTGAGCACTAAAAAAATATGAAAAAAATCTCCCCGAAATTCCCGAAAATCGATATTTTGCTCAGTGGGGGGGGGGGGGGGGGGGGGGGGGGGGGGGGGGTAGAAAGCATCATTTTGCCCCCGACATAAAAAATAATTAGAAAAATATGTTTTCCTTTTTTTTTGGCCACCCAAGGGGGGGGGGGGGTTAAACCCCCTAACCCCCTAGACCCGCCCTTGCTAGTGTTAGTGAATATGACATTTGTTCGTAAAATATTAACACCAGCCACAAAGGTCCGTTCAGCAGACGACAATTTTGCAAAATCGATAACACTAGCTAACCGGAAGTTGACGATATTCAGAGGTCAAAGCCGTAACACCAGCTGATTTCCATTTCCATTTATAATTAGGAAAAGGGGCACTTATTAGATAGGAAAAGGAGCACATGTAAAAATGTAAGGTGCGCTTATCTAAGATAGAGAGGGTAGTTACTAAAATGGAAAGGGGCACTTGTCAAAGTAAAAGGGGCACCTCTCGAATATAAATAAGGAAATTACCAGAGGTGAAGGGGCACTTGTCGTATCTGAAATGAGGCACTAAATAGAGATTAAAAGGGTTCTTATATGAATGGAAAATGGACTCTTATTGCGAAGGAAAATGTGAGCTTGTCGAAGGAATAGGGGCATTTGTCAAAATAAAAGGGGCACTTGTCAAAGTTAAATGGGCATTTTTCTATATAAAAAAGGGGCACTTTGGCGGTACTTGAAAAGGTGAGGCACTATGCCCCCTGCCCCCGGGAGGGCCGGCCCTGACAATGAGTATCTAGACCTTGGCGGGGGGGGGGGGGTGCAATCTGAGCCAACGCAGAAGAAAATGTTTTCCAGGACTTGATTTTCCTGTGGGACGATGAGTGCTTCTTTAATATATCTATTCATAATGATGCTTATAAGTATCGACTTGCATGGTGATCGGATATACAGTAGGTTTACGGTTCCTCCCCTCTCACATGGTGTAACCATAAACCTACTGTATATCTCTTCATAACTTGTAAATTATCATTTTGATTTACTTTTATTTCTGTTTGTTGTGTCATCAGCAACAACACAATGAATTTGTGAGACAGATTTGATCATTGTTTTCTCGGGTCCCGGATGCTTTTTTCTTCCAACCACTTGAATTTATTGTTTTCTTTGCAATCCATTAATGCACTTCTTTGTCCCACACCTAGCCCCACATTCTACTGGATTTGAATAATGTGTTTTTAAGATTAATCGCCTTGATCTCACCCCCTCCCTTTCTCCCCCTCTCTCTCTCTCTCTCTCTCTCTCTCTCTCTCTCTTGCTCTCCTTCTCTCTCTCTCTCTCTCTTTTGGGCATTTACATTTTAAACACAATTAACAAAAATTGATTGATAAAACGTGATGATGATAATATCGGATAAACATGTACTAAAAATAAACAGATCTACTAGCAAATATGAAGCAAGTTGGAAAGTAAGAAATAAAATGAACATCTGAAGAAGATCTAAAGAAACAAGCGTGTGTAAATAATGTGTAAAAATGTGTAAAAAAATGACAAAATCAAATGCAGTGTCTCATTCTGGCATTATTGTACTATATATATATATATATAAAATGTAAGCCAAAAAAAAAGTTTACACCTAGAAAACTGTTAACTGTTTCACAAATCATCGATGAACAGCAAATCACCATACATCCCACGAAAGAGCGTCCCATCCCGAATCACGCTTGGATGAACAGGAGGCACTGTTTGCGAGAGTATAAAAATCGACTAGCGCCAAAGTTGCTTATGTGATGATGTGGTGATGATGATGATGATGATAACGATTTTGTTGATTTTTACAAGTTGATGCTGATGCTGACGTTATGTTCAGTTGAGCCTTTCACCAGTATCCAGAAGACCTTTACTGAGATTTTTTGTTCATACTGCCTCTGTTTTATATTCATCAAAATAATGTATGCCATTTTGTCAGAAGGCTTTATCGCTTAGGCGAGTATGATAGTGGGATAGTGTAGTAGGTCCATGGTTAAAGGTACATCCCCCTTCAATCCTAAAAACAGAGAAGAAACAAAGCAAAGAGAATAAGGGAAGGCAAGGTGTTTAGAAATGATACAACTATTTCAACACTCTTCCCCTCACCCGATGACCTTAATCTCTTACATGTCATCTACCTATAGTAAGTCTGTTCCTATTCCCACTCCATGACATCAGCGCCTATAGATCTAGATCTTACTAGACACACGCTTCGCTACTGGTCTTGGAAACGGGTAAACTAGCGACGTGTTTTGACTATAAAACCCTTTTTTTCCTGCGTTCCTCTCTTTCTCCTCTCCCCCCTCTCTCTCTCTTTCTCTCTCTCTCTCTCTCCCTCTCTCCCTCCCCCTCTCTCTCTCCCTCTTTTCGTCTCTCTTTTCATTCAAGGTAACTCACAACGAAACAGTGACAGTGTTCAGTTTTTCCTTGCTATTGTGTTTTCTTTATTGATTATAGAATGCTGCAGTGGTAATTGTTTTACATCATAATTCACCTTTGATATTAGAGCCATTACAGTGAACGTACTTATCCAGTGAAATAAAAATTATGCCATTGACCGTGGATTTAATTTTTGTTAATACCATTTACCTCGCCTGGGTTAAGTGTGGCAATGAAGATTAATATCTTGCCAATGAACATTAGTGCTGCGACACGGATTCGAACCCTGTACCTTGGTTGTCGGCAGTCCGGAGACTTATCAACTGGACCACAACATCTCCACCTCTATAATCTCACGACTTTAATCGCTGATGAAAGGGAGTGCACCAGAGTGATATAATATCATATGTTGAAAACAACCTCTAAAACCCACGACAGTTTGATTTTGTGTTAAAGAGAGATAGAGAAGAAGAAAAAATACAAATCTAGCATTTTCATGTCAGGATTTTCCATCATCGATATGTTATGACATATTCTAAGTAAGGATGAAGGATTTTCTAAACTTTACAGATGAGATTCTATTCATTTAACCAAGCAACAGCAAAAAATCAACGAAAATGAAAATGCTCAAAGCAGAACATTGAACTACAGAAGGAATCAAATTGTCTGGACCAGACCACAATGTCCACCCATTTTAATACAGCTTATTGGAGTAATAGTTATGTGATTATCCCTAAGATGCATTAAGATGTTCAAAATTAATTCCCAAGATCCATAACCTTGATCCTTTCTGTGTGCATGAGCTTCAGTATAGCCCTACCAACTGGGATAAATGCTTAGGTTTTCATCCACTATATCAAAATATTGGTTTGATTGGTTATCGCTAAAAGAAGATCTCGTTTCTTGGAACTCCTTTTTAATCGAGGTAAGCCAGGAGGTTGGGTGTGCCATATAATACACCATCCTTAGCATCCTCAATCTTGTCCTTACTGGCGCCATCAATGATAGCTGAGTACACATTCTCAGCATCGTACGAGCCTTCTGCATTCTGGATAGCGCCCAGTACCGCAGCAATACCTGGGGAGAAGATAACAGTGTAGAATGAGGAAATTACATTTATTGTCGGAACTATTTCACAATTGTTTTCATTAATCTCCCAATTCTAAGGCCTTCATGTACCTGAACATAATTGTAAGAGTATGTCTGCGAAAATAGCTACACGATTGCTGGTATTGAAATACAAAAGCGTACAGTATTGACAAAAGGTTTTATTAACAGTTGATTCATTTTTGAATTTTATTTCATTGAATGAAAACAATATATAATAATCTCGATTTATATAGCACTTAATATGGAATACCGTCTCTATGCGCTTTACAAATATTATTACCCCGGTCATCGTATTCATTCACGTATAATGTGCACCATCTCCACTTCCTGGGGAGTATTCCTACCATATGGTCACCGTGAGGACATATGGCAATTACTAACACAAATGCTTTCGTCGTCCTACCATTTGTCTCCTGGAGTGGCAAATGTCTTGCCAAAGGACATTAGTGACACGTCGCCTATACGACACCTTTATAGAGCAGAATGTATTCAACACAATCTTAAAGACTTTCATAAAATCCCGGCATAAAATTAACCAAAGGCAATTTCAATAGCCCTGCATCATGTTTTGTGCAAACTTGACAATGACATATTACATAATCCGAAAATGAATTAAGAAGGATTTTTTGTTTTGTTTTTCGTTTTTTGTTTGGGGGGAAGGGGGTTTAATCAAACTTAAATAAAAGTGTTTTTATTGTGTTTTGTTGCTGTAGGCCTACGGTTATTGATGAAAATAATTTGTATATAATATAGGCGCGCATGTGTGTGTATGTGTTCGTGTGTGTGCATTTGGTAATGTACCTGTACTTTGCAGTATCATAACTTGAAGAAGCCCTATGGGCAAAATATATATCAGTGTCAACGGAGTTCTTTATTCGTTTTGAGCCTAGCTGTCTGAAATAATCTCCTACGTCGCGGAATTTATCTTCTCAATAAACCCTTGAACAATGAAAGAGTGCCTCTTTGAGATTGCAAAGGTATACCCATCCTGAGAGGAAAAATGAAATATTCTGATTTGTATTTAATATATTTGTTCCCATTAAACCATACCTTTCCCCTTCTCAAAACGTAAGCTACCCCTTACTTTGATTCCTGTGGAAATATCTTCCGACGGTCAGTTTTGCTATTAGTTGCAGTTCTGAAAAATGCAAAAATCACTGTTCATAACAATGATTACAGACCCTTTGTACCCTTACCATCAACATAATCTCCTCCCTCCTTTATTGTTACCATGATGGTATTACTCTTACTCCCAATGTTAACAGAAGCACATGAAAACGATATTATGGGTTTTAAAGCTTGCGTTTTCCTCAGGTCAGATTCGGTCATGATCGTATATGGCAAGCCGTTTAAACATGTAATCCTATTTCGTGATATCAAAAAAGAAGAATATATTGCTTGTTACCAATAATATGTAGTTTTATATCGAGAATTGAGTTCTCGATATCAAACTGCGCACTTCGTGAAAATATAATCCACTGGGAAAATATTCCTTTAGGTGATCCAACTTAATATTAATGGTTTATTTAATAAAAAATATGCATCGCAGCCGGGGTGGGGGTGCTAATTTGTACAATATTAAAAGTACATGGTATTTACATGATAAACAATATTCACTATATAGAATCATAATGATACAAATAAAGAATATGCAAATTGAGTGTAATACCAAAGACCGCATGTTAGACTACCATGAAACGAGTATACGTTTTAGATGTATATCCGGTGAAGGTTCAAAATAGTATAGCGTAATGTAGGTGAAGACCGCAAAAGGAAAATTGCAAGATCCATGTTTTGAAAAGGCATGCACTTAAGGGACCGAGAGAGTGATAGCTAATGTCAAATTACACACCTAACCAGGCAGTCAATATTTATATTATAAGCTAATGAAGCAGATCCAAATCTTGGTTGAGAGTGTACACGTGACAGGGCATTTATTTTGCCTAAAAAACAGTTAAAAACACGTTAATTTTACTTTTGTTTTGTTTTGTTTTGTTTTGTTTTGTTTGTTTGTTTATTTTTTGTTTTTTAGATACGCGTGAACCCTGGCGCTCAAAGGGGAGGGGGGGGGGGGGTTATGATTTTTCAAATTTTCGAGGGCCAAACTTTTTTTTTAATAGTGCTCTCTAACCCCCCCCCCCCCCCCCCCCCCGCGTATTTACCGGCTGGCTGTTCCGCCCCTGGCCTAACGCACAATTTTACCAATGACCGGTCATTAGTAAATACTAATGACTCGTCATTAGTAAAATCATGCTATGAAAATATCTCATAAAACAAATAATAGACATCACTGCTTTGTAGTATTGGTATATAATATAATATACCACTCTCTGCATTTCCATCGTGGAGTAGCCTCAATGAAACAATGTTTATGAATATATTACATAATTTGTCGTTACCTGCAACATGAGGGCATGACATGCTGGTTCCGCTCTTTGTGCTTGTGGAAGTTGAGGAGCTAATACCGCAACTTTTGATGGATGAACCAGGAGCATAGATATCAACACATGTGCCGTAGTTCGAGAAGTAAGATCTGGTGTCAGAACTGTCAGTGGCACCCACGGTGATAGCCTACATGCATACAAGTCATAATCATTATTCAAACTCAGACACAATCATGAAAATGAAAAAATACCTTTAAAACCAAGGTCCATGGCACACTGTAAATACAAAAGCCTTTTGGAATGGTGATCAATACAGAATACAAGACATACAAAGGCGTGGAACATTATAACTGTATAAAGCATGTCAAACATTTTACACCAAATTATATAGAGAAGAAAACCATTGTATTCTGCTCTTTATTATGTCATAATACTTTCTCACTAAACAAGTAACAAAGAAAGAAACGAAAACTAGGAAGGAAATTGTATTTGTATACTCTTAGAAATACTTTTAAATCAGATATTTTCATCATGAGCAAATATTACTTCAAAGTATATGTCGTGGACTAGAACAACTACATCAATATGAATTTCAGGGTAACTTTAACCGAACCGCTAAATACCAACTCAAAGTATCAAATCATCAAGATGATAATTATACGAAAAAGATACTACACGTCTTCGTAAAAAGTAATTGTAAAATTGCCAACCAGCAGAAGTAAGCTTTAATCATAATTATGCAAATAAACGGGATCCAATTATTACACATTATGTACTACCTTTTTCTATTCTCCTCTCAGCTCACCTCCGCCTCTGATATCAAAGAATTCGGAACCCCCCCCCCCCCCCCCCCCCCCCCCCCCCCCCCCCCCCCCCCCCATTCTGGAGAGCCTTGAAAGGGGTGACGAAATCCTCAATATTATGACGGGAAAATCAATGTCATTATCTGCCCCCCCCTTTCCCCTCTCTTCCCTGTCGGACCTGAATTGGATGCCCCACCCTGAATAATCAAGTCATTTACCTCTGGTGCAGAAGCGGGTGACTTGTTGCAAGCAAGACCATTATCATTGCCGGCTGAGACAACTACAACATAGCCGGCATTTCGACAATTCTTGACAGCTGTATTTTGTGCAGTCGACACGGAGCCACCGAGGGACATCGAAACAACACCAGGCTTTTGCCCATTATCGCGTACCCAATCAAGGGCTAAAAAAATAAGATAAATTTTATGAAAATCATCATAATTATATCAACAACAACAACCATAATAATATAGTATTAATAGTGATAATAATGATAATGATAATGACAATAATAATTATAATAGAAATGAAAATGATAATAACAATAATAATTATAATAGAAATGAAAATGATAATACTACTACCTAATAATAGTGATAATAATGATAAAAACAATAATAATAGAAATTATAATGATAATAATAGTAATAATGATAATAATTATAATAAAAATATCAATTACAGTTATAATAATAATAATAATGATAATAATAACAACCAAATTATTATTATTATAATTATAACAATAATAATAACAATAATAATGATATCTCGCATGAATTCAAAGTATCAAAATTGACGATACTGTCTTCAATGCTCTTTCAGTACTCTTTGGGGTCAAGGAAGCTAAAGGTCTCGGCTCGGACCTCCGTTATTTATTCTGTACTATTATCCAAAAGAATTCCCCGGAACGACTATACGCAGATGACAAACGGATTTCTTTTTCTTTCAGGCCTGCATGTACTTGCTCAATATAAAATCATCTCAACCATAAAAGCAGGTGTTGATTATACTCGTGGATGGAATCTTCAAAACAGATTCCAAACTAAATAGATGGGGTATCTGTCAGAAGTCCTGTCATAAAGCCATCACTCGGTGCTAGAAATCTAGAAGTACTTTTTGACGAACGTTTGAATATGCGAACATTACAAACATAATGTAAATCAATTACATACCACATTATAATATAACCAGCGCTTTGTAACTGCAAGGAAAAGGCGCTATATCAAATATCTTTGGACTGGATTGGATTCGGAAGAGTTTTGATCAGGACAGTATAAAAACAATTGTTCATGCTTGCATCATTATTTTAAGTTTTTCATTAAAAAGAGTCTGGCTCTTAGGGTAATGGGAGTCACTTAATCCCAGAAAAAGATAGGCTTATATACATGAACAATTCTTTTTACAATTTAAACTCTTGTCTGCATAAGGAGCGACTATTCATTAAAATGCAGTAAGGGAAATTATTTTAGTCTCTGTTTCCTTCCTTTTGTTCTTTTCTTCCCCCTTCCCACTGTCCTCCCCTTTCCAATTCATTTTCACCTCTTTCTTCTTCTTCTTCAGAACTAACGTTTACTCTCTTTCTCTCTCTCTCTCTCTCTTTTCTGTTTGTTTGTGGGGGGGGGAGGGGATTTGGAGGG